AGCAAAAAATGAATATCCAGATGTCTAATATAAATGCTAAAGAAATTATGTAACAATGACCACTATAACTGGATAGATTTTGACACCGAGAGATCCACTTTTATTTGGAATTATGTTGGAATAAAAGTCAATATCATAGCTTAAAATAAAGAATATAAAAATATCTTTTAAAATCATACTAACAATTTAAGTACTTGCAGAAGTATAATAGGACTATCAGTGTCTTTGACTGGCTTATAATATTTTTATCCCACTTGAAACTATAGTATTTTGGGCTAACAGTGAGCATTTTAACAGCCACATGTGGCTTTTTTCTCTCCTAAAACTCACTAAAGCAACAGTAAAAGTATTTTTTTCAAAAGTCACAAGCCCATTGGGACCAGAAGGGGAGAAGAAATGGCAGCAGAATTCTAAAGGCTCAGGAGTGAGTGAATTCCTGGTAATTACCTTAGCAGACTGAAGCAAGCTGAACCTTGGCTGCTCATGGAGAGAGCAGAGGCAGCAGAGTGCTGAAGGGGCACAGGACTTGGGTGCTGAGTGGGAGAAAGAAGCAGACCGAGCAGTGTGGAAGAGCCAGAGATGAGTTGGGAAAGAGAAGCCTTAAAAAAAAATGCAGGGCCCTAAAGCTTCAGATCCCAAATCTCTTCCTCTAGACAGTCTTGCAGCTGCCCTCTTACGCCTGTGAAGTCTGGGTTTAGTTTCTAAGGAGGATCAAAAGGAATCTGCGCTGAACGGCACCAAGCATAGCTCAGACTGGAAGAACTCTGGTTGAAAAATCAGCCAGTAGGACAAAGCATTTCTCACCCGTGTCACCCCAGTCCTCTTTCCCCACTTGGTTCCCAGAGCTGTGCCAATCATGCATCCAGCCGGGAGGTGGTAGACTGGAAGAGTCCTCTCTGGACAAGCTGACTGACTTACAAGAAGGAGATGTAAAGATACTGAGGTGGGGAAGCCCCAGGAAAGCACCCCGCCTGAGAACCTTGCAGTGAAGGCCATGGCCAGCGAGCCGCATTCCTGGGCAGTTAGGTTTCAGCAGTTTCTTAGAGTTCCTCATGTAAATGCAGCAGATGGATTACATTTCTCAGACATTTGAGGACAGCATCATCTAACTTAATACAAAGACGCCAAACTCAAATGCAGGAAGAAAAGAACTCGGAGGAAGCAGAGATTGCACAGGAAGCAGAACATTTGAAGAGCACCTTCATCTCAAAAGGACCGTCATTGTTATCCTCAGAGAGTTACAAGTCTCCATCCCTAAAATAAGAGCATGCTTGAGAATTGGAAATTAGAAGGGTGGTATCCACAGTGAAAAACTTGGCAGAATATGAGAATGTAAGATGAAGGATAGGTGGGGTGATAAGACAACGGGAAATAGTAAAAGAAATGCAAGAAAATTAAAGGACTAGTCTTGAAATTTCAACATTTGATAATAGTTCTATAAAGAGTAAGGAGGCAAATGGAGGGAGGTAACTAGGAAAAAAAAATCCAAGAAAAGTTTAGATTGTACATATGAAGTGTTTAGCTCCATGAATGAAAATCTTCTCATAACAAGATGTCATTGTGAAATTCTGGAATGCTGTGGATTAAATCCTATCAGCTTTCAGAGAGAAAAAAAGGTTTCTTAAAATGAGGAATCATAGGGCTGGCCAAATAGCTTAGTAGATTAAAGCGCCTGCAAGCAGGCCCACGGGCTGCGGGTTTGATCCCTGGGCCTGAGGTGCCGGCCCCGCACCCAGGGCTCGATGAGATGGCAGTTGAGACTGGGTGTGGTGACATATGCCTGTAATCCCACCACTTGGGAGGCTGGAAACAAGAGAATCACTATGAGTCCCATCTAGTAGCGAGACCCTGAGCACCCTGTAGACCCTTCCCTGAAATACAAAAAAAAAAAAAAAAAAAAAAAAAGGGATCATAATGGCATCCAGTTTGTCAACAGTAGTACTTTGGAAAACTGTCTTTAAAATTTTGAGGAAAAATGATTTGGTGGTAGTGGTGGACCGAACCCTGGGCTTATCAGCTATATCTCCAGCTTTTTATTTTTTAATGTAAACTTAAATACGAGGTCAAAACATAAACTTTTTAATCACCAGAAAGTTACCTTCTAGGCTTCTCCACCTTAGAGAGTTCCTTCAGGATGCAGTCCACGAATATGAAGAAAAAGAGACAGAGATAGGAGCTCTGGTCTTCATGGGGAGTGGTGCTGGCTTTCCGCTGTGCGCATGCGCAGGAGTCTGAGGCGCGCGCAGGCTCCAGAAGATGTTCTGGAGGGTGCGGTTACTGAAATGCCTACTGTGCTGGAACCCTTGAGAAGAGGCAGGCCTGTGTGCGGGTCACTGAGAATTCAAGTTGGTAGTGAATACATAGAAAACTAAGCAAAGGGAAGCACTGGATAATCAGCAGTTTTTAAAAATTCCAGTTACAACTGGAAGCACAAAATATACTTGAAAGGAAGATAAGTTATGATATATTTGGTGGTTTAGCAGTGAGTAGCTTTTACATCATCAAAATGTCATCACAGAGGCTTTTAAAATATTTTTCATTGAAATACAGTAAACATTCATCCCTAAATTCTGATCTGACAAAGTAATCAGAAAGGCAGAAGGGCAGAGGGATGGAAGTGTGCTGTTTTGAGGCGAAAAGGAAGGGCGTGGGAATAAAAGTTACCCGCTTTTCTTCCATAGCAGGAAGGCAGACAGTGTAGCAGATTGAAAATTTGAGTTGCAGATTAAGAGTAGCACTGTAAACATGTTTCTCAGGCTTGTGGAAGGAACAGCAAAGGATGTGTTAAAGGGAGAGGACAGGGGACGCTAGGGGGATGACCAGCTTTAGTAGAGTCTTGTGACGTTATGTGAGTCTTGAAACTATAAATGTGAATAAGTGAGCGAAATAAAAAGTAGCGTGTGGTTATTTATGGCATTTTGTGGCAGCAAGTAAGCTTAAATAGTGGAAGGATAATTGATGTCTGTAGTATATATTTATGTTTATCATTTAATGAAACTAAACATGTTTTAATTGAGTTGCTGAAAACAATCT